TGGTGTAGCATTTAATTTGAATATGTGTGTTAATGAGACATGTTGTAGTTTCTGAAGACAAGGTAATTAACTACATCTTGTACCTTACATATTTGGGAACAAAACCATACATTGCTGATTTAGCCATTGTTGAGGGCTTTCATGAATAGGAATAGCGAGGGTGGGACTTCATGGGGTCACACTTCGGTTTTAGAGCCAAGATTTTGGACTTCCGCACCGATCGGGGGGTGCCAGGAGAGGGGTTCGGTTGTATACCGACTTTAGAACTGGGTGGGGATACCTATGGAGCCAGATTATTGGTCTTCCTCTCTAAAAGGGGAGTGCCTGGGGTGAGGATCCCATTAAGGTATTCACAGTCGTGCAAAGACCCAACAGATGGCATTTTAGAGTGTTTGAATTGTTAACCTAATGAGGAAAAGGGAACTTGGTTGGAAATGAACTTGTCGAAAATGATTCACTACAGACGTCTAGAATCACAATGTTCAGTGAAATGTTCACACCTGATTGATTGAAAATGTAAAACATTTTTTTGGGGTGGGGGAGAATGTAGTGAGTCATTTTCTCCCCATTAAGTTATGCCCGATAGATGACGTCAGTAATAAATGTAAGGCGAATGTTTGACTGACTGAGATAACACGAGATTTATGTCTTGAGTTTCATGAGAGACATCTGAAAGTCAGGTTTTATGTGAAACATGATTGTTCACGTGAAACCATGAAGGTTGACTGGCATGATTCGTGTGAAATGCGAGGTATCACGGGCCAGACACGACAATTCGTGAGAATGAAATTATCCAGAATATTCGAGAACAGGACAGATCAGAGGGCTATATAATAGCGAAGAAAAGGTTTGTGAGGAGTCTCGTTTAGGCCAAGGGAAAGGTGTACATGTGGAAAGTTCGGAAGAATGTTGACGTATGAATAGCGTGATTTCCCAATGCCTACCTGGCATAAAATAGCGGCTGACGGAAACGGTGGCCAGCTGTGAATGACTGTCGTTCTGGATGGAGGGAGCTACTGTGTTTTTCTTTGAATTGTGTGTGTATTCGACGATGTTACAAAGGTATGATTGACTGTTTAGAGCATTGATGAGTGATATTGTTGTATATAGACATTTACTGACTGCAACAACAGCGAGTGAAAATAAACAGTACGTGTAACTTCTGAACGTCTGCCAGCGTCCATGTTTTCTCGTTCTTGTCAGTCGGTGAATGGAGAGATGCAGTGACTCATTCGAGCCAGCAATTAATAACAGTGAAGATCACTGCACAGACGAATGCTAGGAATAAAGCCAGTCTTACAGGTCATTAAAGAACAACAAATGAAGTGATTTGGATGCCTAACAAGAATGCCTTGGTACTATCTACCACAGCGAGCAACATTAAAACATTACAACGGGTATAGAGCGAGCAGAAGACCTCTCAAAAGATTAAGGGATGGCCTTACCGAAATGAACATCTGTCTTCATAGTGTTCTTGACAAAGCTCATCAACGAACGTTGCATCTCTCCCTGACACTTCACTGGGATACAAGGTGGAAGAGAAGAAGAAGACGAATAGAATGCATGCATCATATAAGACAAGTTGTTACAGACTGACACATACATGGAAGAATCAGAGTGAATTAGATTTTTATCATTTGCCATTACATGTGTTTCAGTAGCAGATGTCATCAGAAGCAAGAACAATGTGGATTCATTTGAAGATCTACGATCTCAGTTCTGTTTGTCTTTAGAAACAAAAAGAGAGACAGACATACAGAGACAGACTGACAGAGACAGTCAGACAGAGAGATAATTGTTGAATTTTTTGTATTTAACGTATAGTTTTCAAGCATGTGTTATATGTCAGTAGAGCAGACAATAACTCTATGATGTTACTGACATCTGCAGTACTGGTGTCACAGTTTCAACCCCATGATGACCAGATTAACTCACTGGAGATCTTGGAGAGAAATGAAAGATTACTGATCATCTCTGCATCCTCTGATTGTACTGTAGCAGTGTGGGACATTAATGGTATTAGAATTGGCATATTTGGGCAGGTATTTCATCTCTTGTTTTGCTGTAGACATGATAATATTTATCTTCACAAGAATGCAATTAACATATCTGTCTATGTATTAAGTAGATTCAATCATTGGAAAAACACTTGAATTTCAGTAACATTCTTATGTGAGTTATTTTAATTTTTTAAGCAATGTTAATATCCATTTATGTAATCTGGAAATGAGGTATACTATGCCCTTCAACATCTGCTAAAGTCAAAGTGTCTGTCTCGCAACACCAAGATCAAAATATATAAAACGTTGATAAGACCAGTAATTTTATATCTCTCTGCAACTTGGAGCACAACTAAAAGAGATGAAGCCTTATTACAGGTTTTCGAAAACAGAGTCTTAATCTGTTTAAATCACCACTAATCACTGGCATATTGAGAGCTAACAGACTGAAATGGTTGGGGCATATTGAAAGAATGTCAGATGACAGAGAAGTAAAAACTGTAAACACCAGGGAGATGAATGGTCGTAGACCACAAGGCAGACCAAGAAGAAGATGGAAAGGTAATGTCCAGACAGACCTGCAAACACTTGGGGTCACCAACTGCAAAGAGAAGGCCATCCAGAGAGATGAATGGAGGCGGGTGAAATCTGCAGCAATGAACCTCAAGGGCTCGGAATGCTGGAGAAGAAGAAGAAGAAGAAGAAGAAGAAGAAGAAGAAGAAGAAGTTAATATCCATTTTCTTTTCTGAGATTGTTGGCATGAACTAAAAAAAGTTATGTGTCCTTTACAGGACCTTGCAGAACCAACCCCAGCATTTAGTTTTGCCTTTTCGGTTTTTCTAGGCAAATTTTATGTTCAGTAGAGCATGAATTGAACATATTATTTTTAAAGTTAAAAGCAAGAAATCCATCAATCAGGTGCCATATCCACAGTGAAGGTCGGCTGCAATGGATATACATCACTCTCTGTATCTTGTCATGGTTGTACTGCTGTTGGTCCATCTCTTGATGTTCACCTGCCACTTGTATCATTGTCTACCTCTTGCTTTCTTGCCTTTGATTTTTCCCTCCAGTAAAGATTTTTTTTTATATCCAGAAACCATGAGTTATTAACCCTTTGGCTGTACTATGGATATCTCAACCCTTCAGCTTTGATTCTATGATAGATACTGTAAATGTGAAATGTGACTTTTTTGCCAACCCCGGGCATAAACCCGGACCACAAGGAGTTTGTCACCCAGTCACCGCGCAGTCAGATTTAACCAACTGAGCTAGCGAGCCAGGCCCAGTAGAGATATAAACATGCTTTAAAAAGTGCAAATGATGGATAGAGGGAATATCCGAGACCACAAATACCATAGTCTACAAAGCACATACCAAGGCTCGCACTAGAGGCCTCTTCGAGACAGGCAGAACAGGACTGAAGAAGAAGAAGAAGAAAGAGAAAAAATCAGGCAAACAATAATGCAGTTTGCCTTGGAGAAAATTTATTATATGAGTAAAGTCACACACACCTATTTAGACAGCAGCATAGACTAAGATATGGAAAATACTCTACATATCAGAATATAACAAAAGACAAGAGAAGTTTCATAGCACTAGAAAATACATGGAACATCAAATAAGTACTGCTGTATGGATGAGCATCATAAAGAAAGACTAAAACAATTATGAATGAACTCACAAGCATTCATTGACTGGTGCCTGTGCAGAAAATACAGGTGTAAATGGTGCGTCAGACTAACATGAAGCTCTGGGAGGAAGCTAAACAGATTCCAGTCAATCAAGTGATATGGAAAAGACCCTTGCATTGGACAGGACACACTGAGACAATCTGATGAAATGTCCTTACACTAGAATTGCAAAGAACAGGTTGACTTGGCATGAGCTGGTTGAGGACCTGTATTTTAATGGGAGATACCTGGCGGAAGAAGAAATCTGGTTCTTAAAATAATTTGTTTACTGTTTATTTCAGGAAGAGCACTGGAAAATAGAACCGTATCAGCCACCTAAAGAAATGAAAGCTGACAAAATACAGCAGGTCTAATTTTCAGTTGTTTTTTTTTTAAATGTTTTTCTTGCGAATAAAATGTGTTATGGATGGCAGTTGCAGAATTGCCGCCAGTGTGTTTTCACATGTTTTCTATCATAACTCTACCCTGTCTGGACTTCAAATTATTTTGTAATTGTCTGAAGCCGCAATATAACCGTCCATTTGAACAGAGTTTTGGAGATACCTACCTCAGGGATACTCTAAAAAATAGTTACTCTTTGGGTCACTGGTTGTTAATCACTCAGTATGTGGTTCTATTGAGGTTCAACTTCATTCCTATGTTTTCATGTACGCTGAACTAAAAACAAAGATCTGGAGGCATACACTTATTTAAGCAGTAATATAGATAAAGATGGGGATGGGGCATATAGAGATATACATATATGAATACAAAAGGCCACAAAAGTTTTCAGAATACTAGGGATTGTGTGAATGACAAAGAAATCAAAACTACCACCACACAAGCATGTTCATGTTTCATTAGCTGACATTCCCTGCACTTTGAACTCTTGAGTTCATAAGGGCTTGGATTCCCTCCTCTCTGTATTCCTGATGTGTAGAAACTAATGATACTAGTCATCCTCTGGTGGTGTACTATTCTTATAAGTCCACCTTCATAGTGCGTTTGTCTGGCTTCATCCCTTTTGGACTTGATATTCTTGAACTCTGGTCAAGGCTGGTGATTCACTGTCAATGGTTGATTTTTTTAACATTTATTATTGATTTGACAAAAACACCAAACTGAACAGATTAGATGTCAAGAATCCAGATTTTTTGGGTATTGGTATGGAAAGAACTGAACTTAAAAACTTGGTTGCAAAAGGCAAACTTTTTTTTTTTTTAATAAGCAAGATGAAGTCTGATAAAAACCTATGTAGTTTTGGTATGTGATGTGGACAACACAAGAACACAGATACTCTCATGTGGGCTAATGACTACTCTTATTAGCATGGTGCATGATTCATTTGATGGAAGAATTGTATCACTGTTCAACTACCACATGACAAAATGCTATCGCTTCTGAAAGTGTCGTACATTCACTGTTCACGGGAAAAGGTTGGACTCCACTGTTAAAGGGCAGTTTGGGCAGTCGTTAGCTTGATTAAAGGGTTTAAATATAAACCTTGATTTTGATGATGCCAGAATTAACTTTGGTGTTGAAAATGTTGATATATAAGTGTGCAAAGTGTCTATTTGTTTTTGCTGACTCATTCAAACAACCAAGAACATGATACTCTTATTGAATTTAAGCAGGCATACCTGAAACAAGCATCACAAGATAAAAAGAAGAGGAATTGATATCTCCCTCTAGACCATGCAGATCCATCTGTGTACATACACTTTTGTGTCATCAGTTCCGGCATGTGAGAACCTCTGCAGTTTCTTCCAAGTTTGAGCATTACCTGATTGGTAGTTGTTCCACTCACTGCCATTGGTATCTCTTCTCAAGGGAAACTAATAGACTGGTGACAAAACCTGGATATGGAGAAAGTGCTGATTCTTTGCTGAACTGTGCTCTGTCATGAAGCGGAGTGGCCACTTTGATTAGCTTGCCACTCCAGACTTTTTGTTTTGGAGTGACACCCAAATCATCTTTAGTGATTCACAACTAAGTGTGTGGCATTATTTTGTCCCTGGTGAAATCAAATCCTTTGCAGTCACAGGAAACTGTGACCATCATTTGTTTAGTGTGAAAAGGTTTCTTCTTCTTTGTTTCCTCCAGCATTTGTTTATTTGGGTGTAACTGCATTGTGCCTGTTATTGGAAAGCTGCAGTATTTATGCTTTTATTTGCTCACTGTCTTTGTTCAAGACTTTTGTTGACTGGGTTATCTTTCTTTGGTCATTGACAGTTTTAGTGATGCAGGAAGTATTCACTTACATAAGTAGATGATTTCGTATTGGGGCAGAAGCCAGGAATCTCAAAAGAAGTCCAGACACTGGGTGCCATGTGTGAAAATGCTTGTTTCTAATTCTTATGCTTGCTTTGGTTATTAATTTATGTATATGATAATATTTTGATGACATTCATGATCTTTGTGTGTATTATAATTTCCACTGTGCCATTATTCTGTTTCAAGAGAGAGGAGGATAATAATTCAGTTACCCCATCAGAAGAGGTGAATGAAGATCCTCAGTGGGAACCATGCAAAGAAGCCATCACTGAGCCACACACATATAGGGTCAACACCTGGGACAAGACTGTATTAGGTATTAAACAGATGTTTTACCATATTGGTCAGTTTTGCTTTGACAGTTTTGAGCAAATCAGTGATTACATTCTGACACTGACCTGCATCATTACTTCAACACAGAATCTATGCTCCTCTTGTAGCAAGCCCTTTATAGAACCTGGCTCCCATCACAGCCCACCTGGCAGAAACTCTGCCTCTGGCCAGCTCTCCTGTCTCTTACACTTTCTAACCTTGATTAGATTACGGTTAGATCTAGAAATTAATGTGTGAAATTGGAGATATAATTTAATAAAATGCAACCAGTAATCAGTTTTGCTTGGGAAACCTCACTTCATGACATGAAATTATATATATGTTTATTCAGCTGTGTAGGCATAGATGAAGCAATAGATATATTCACCAAATAAGTTGCATAAAAGTAAGTTGAATTCTCATAGCGCTAGGAAATTTGTAGAAGTCAAAAGAAATTCAATATATCTATGCCTTACAGTTTGTAATTCTGTTTTAAAATTATTACTGCTGAATGGACTTTAACAAAAATAATTTAGAGAACATAACATTACAGATAAAAAACAAACATCATTAACTCTTTCAGGCCCATGAATTTTGACAGACTTGGCACACATTAATTTACCTTTACAAAATGACAGAGGGGTGGGTGTACAAGAAAGGCTGTAGAGATTGTAATATACTTCTAATCCACAAGAGTAGTAAATATCCAAATTTGAGAACAAAACTTCAAAGTTTGTTTAATTTCCTAACATATTCTAAAGTTATGATAACTTTCTGGGTTAGTTTATCACTCAGGAGCTCTTAGTTCTCACAGAGTGCTAAGCAAAATTTCAGGAAAAAAATGGCAGAAAAATGAGCCATTACACACACACTATTTACTATTCACTTTGTACAGTTATTTACAGACTGTAGCTGCGATGATTTCAATGTAGCTTAGCCATAATATAGTACTGTCTCTTTGTTTAGAGCACTTTCCTTCTCTTACACCATAAATACGGTAGTATGGGACATTGTCTGTGTAATAAACTCATCAGAATCGCTAGATTCCGAACAGCAGATCGCTCAGCTTCACTGGCGAAAATTCCCCATCCGAATCACTTTCCGAAAAATCTAAATTGTTATTATCATTATCACAATTAAAAACATCTGACTGAAACAATTTCAGAGCTTCGGCCGCAGAAAGACGCATTCTGCGACCTGTTCTTGTGGTTAGAATATTGGTATTCATGGCACTCAAAAACGAACTTAGAAAATGAACTGTTAAAAAAATGTCGCTGTCTTTTTCTCTCAAATTATCCACGTGTGGTTTAGTCCAGGAAATGAAACTAAAAGGATTTCGGCAGAGTGACTTTCTCTGACTAGTTAAATCGTACCTCCAAACATTAGAAACTAGTACGAACGCGCGTGCGAAGCAAAATGTAAGGGGACACACGATTGACGATGACACCGTTGTTTGGGCAAAACGGAACTCCTCAAACTATGCTCACACGGTTGTTTGGGCCTTAAAGAGTTAACTGGCATCTGCACAGAATAGAAAGACCCAACTGGTACAGAATGGAAGGACCCAGTTGGTTGTAAAGAATCACCAGTATGGAGCTTATGGATCAAACTAAAACTAAATCTGATCAATAAGTAATACAAGTTCCCAGATCTTTCTCTGTACACCACAGAGCAAAACATAACAGTGGGGGACACTTAAAAATAGAGAAAAGATTAGAGACAGGTGTGTAAATACAGAGAGGAGAAAGGTGGCAGGGGATTGGAGGACATGGCTTGAGTTGCTTTACAACCTATGATCCACTGGTAGAAAAATAAAACAGAAGGAAAAGAAGTTAACTAGCCCAGGGATGATGCCAGTATGGTATGATAAGATAAACACAAATCTGTTTATGGGAAAGACCTTGGGCATATTGGATATATGATGCTAGCTTCATGTTATTATAGCCAAATAAGCAATCTGTAGGTGATGTGGTCGTTATCATGCTACAACATTACTCTCCACAACATTTCCTGATATCACATTAAGACTCTGCCATCTGGCAGTCCAGGACATTTGTTAAAATCTTCACTACCATGAAAATTTTAAAACACTCGCTGGCTTGGCAGATAAGCCACTTTTACTGCAGCTCTATTGAGAATATTCTAGTCATTACATAACTGTGGTAAATAAGTTCACAGTTGTTCCAAGCTTGTTTCTCCTTTTAACAGTTTCTGTTTCTCTTAGGGTGAAGTAACTGGATATACAATTGATGGGTCTTAAATTGTTTAAAATAAGTGTTTCTAACCTTGCCCATTTTCTTATTTCTTGCCAGTTCTTACAGTAATACTTGTGAGTCTGTCTGCTCCTCAAACGTTGTTTCACCTGTAGACTTGTCTATAAAATATCTTCAGGAGAATAACTTGTATAAGATTTGCTTGGTATGCGAGATAAACCTGTTTCCTCACCCTGTGTCTCTCTCTGTCAAGGACAAGGAATAGATCTAGCTTGATAATATTACATAGTGTGATTCACGCATTTTCTCAGTCTAATCAGTATCAAGAACCAAAATAAATACTAACTTAACCTTAAAAAAATAAGTGATTTAAAGAATCACTGAATAAAAGTTCAATATTTTATTTGACTATAAACTTTTCTGAATTACCATTGTCATGACCATCGAACTTGATAACTTACCATGTTGTTGAATGTTGAATATTGATTTAAGAATCAACATCACAACACTCGGGACAACCCCAGAAGCACTCCGTCCCCATCTTCAGCTGTAAGCGAAGAGTTCCAATTCTGATGGCACAAGTAACTGATTGTATATCCGTTTTACTTTTCCCCTGAGTGTTGAGCGCCAGCCAGATCCCCTTGCAACTCCTCACAGCGACATTCTCTCCAGACCATAATGACCTATCTGTGACAGCTCACTGTTTAATCGCTTCCAAAGAACACTCACAATGTCTAGCCTGACATACATCACTTTACCATTTTTTCTTCAAAAATACTTCCCCTTTCTTATTGTCTGTTGTCACTGGCATATCCTAATCAGTGTATATATTGCCTGTTGTGATAGGCAGATCCTCCTTTGTATGTGTCTGTGAAGTTTCCAAAACCTACCTAGTGTAACCTTTTTTGCAAATGTTGCACACTGCTTTAACTTTTCTACCTTTTCCTTTATAACTTTGTCTAGCTTCTCTCCATCCTCTTGTAACATGTAACCTGCCTTTCCCACCTCCTGTAATTGCTTAAATGCTGCTCGCTTTGCTCGCCATGCCTGTTTTACTTCTTGGGTCCACCATTGAGGCTGCACAAAAGTAGAGATGGTGGTTCTGCTGCATACTTTCTGTCGGAGGTGTCTAAGAAGGGTACTGTCCCTCTCATACTTAAAAGTCTTGTGCATTCTCACAGCCTTGATCTTGCTAGCTTTAGAAATCAAGTCTGCGTATGGCATGTGGTCACTCCCATGTTCACCTAGGACACCTCATTTTGTGTCCAGCACTGTTGACTGAAGAATAAACGCCAAATCAATAGCTGTATCTGCACCACCATGTCTCATTGTCATTCTTGTTAGCCTACCGTCATTTATACAGACTACATCTGCTTCCACCATAGCCTCTGTTAATACATTTCCTTGTCTGTTTTCCCCAGTACTGACCCATGCTCTATTCCGCACACTGAAATCCCCACAGATGAAAAGCCTATTATCAGGGATTTCCTCCAACTCTTTGAGCCAGTCCCAATGTTCCTTAGTGACAAGAGATTCAACAGTAAAATAAGCATTTACTAAATTCCAGGCTGCTCCCCAATTATCTATATTTATACCCTGAACCTCTAGTATACTATGATTCCATTGGATCATGTCAAGAACCACAAGCTTCACCCCGTTCTTCACCAGCAAACATTGCCCATGTCTTCCCTGTCCAGTAGGATTGATATAACTAATGTATCCAGGACACTCATATCTATGTTAAATTCCTGCAGCATGATGATATGAGAGTCATAAATCAGTCTCTCTCGTACAGGTTCTCTCTGCTTGGCAATATGACAATTCTAATAACCCACTCTAAAATGCTTTAATCCCAGAAGCTCTGTTTTTCGCCTAACTCTCCGGGCTCCAGCTCTTCTGTTTCTGTCCTTCTTCTCTCTTCATTTCTTCATCTTGTCTTCTTCCCACCCTCTCCCTTGACACCAGAAGGTGGTATCAAGCACAGTGCATGCACTCAGTAGCTTCGGTAATAATTCTTTTTATTAATAAGTACAACATCCATATAAAATGTTCTTTGAATGCAGGAAGTAAACAATCACCCTAGTATTGCCTGCTTGCTAGGGAAGAGGCAGGGGATGTCCTGACTGAGTCCATATGCCTGAACGTTCCATGTTCATGACTGTATATCCCACAGTCATTCAGCCAATATGCACATAGGTCCACTATGGGCTTAGGTTTTTTTGTCGAGGTTGGCTTCTCTAGAACTGTTGTTTTTTGTGCCTCTTCAGTCATGCACAATGGTCTTGACTGTAGAAGAGTTTTCCTGATCAAGGGACTTACGACTCAAGTGTGCCCCTTACACCCTATAGGTACAAGTACTCATAGGGCTAGACCAAGCTCTCAAGGGTTGTTGTTGTTGTTGTTGTTATCGATCCAGCGGCGCATGAGCTTTCGCCCATTGGCCCAATGCCATGTAGTGGAATTTGCATGTTTTCACAAGCTGTTCTTTTCCTCTGAATAAGGTGTTCCACCTGTCTGGTCTCGGAGGGAGTAGCATTCTTCTAGTCTCGCTGAATTTTGGGCACTCAAAGAGGTGGTGTTCAACAGTTTCGTAGGGGTAGTTACATAGCTGGCACTCTGGGATGGCTGTATTCTGTTTAGATGTCCATTGAATGGAGTATGTTGCATTCTAAGTCTTAAGATGGTGGCCTGGTCCCTTCTTGTTAGATGGTTAATGCTGTCATTAGGATCAGGGCCAGCCATGTGTCTATAAACCTCTCTTCCATTGTCTCCCATGGCCCATCTGTTCAACCAAGTTTTTTTGTTTATAGCTCTTATAAATGTTTTTGCTGTCTGGAGGGTTGTCGCTGTAGGTGGTTGTTCTTGTGTTACTCCTTTCTTTGCCAATCTGTCAGCTCTGTCATTACCTGGTGTGCCGGAGTGGCCTGGAATCCACTGCATCACTATTCTGATGTTATATGAGGTAATAAGCTGATCAGCATCCAGGATTATCTTGGCTATGTCAGTTCTGCAGCGTTCACTGCCCTCCAGAGCTTGAAGGGCAGACATTGAATCTGTGAAGATGACAATATTTTGGGCCTTTGAAGGGTAAACATCCATTACAGTCTTTAGATGGTATACTGCTGTTTCAAGTGCAATTATTTCGGCTTCATAATTTGAACAGAATTCCCCGCATGCATCAAAAATCTCTTCAACAGATCCATCGGGATAACTTATGTAGATTCCATAACCTGCTTTAATGGTAGCTTTAAATGCAGATCCATCAGTTTAAACATGTATCCATTCTTGGGGGTAAGAATCAATGGTCTTTAGTGATGAGTTCATAAGAGCGATTGGGTTGGACTGTTTGGTTTCCTCACCTACCAATTTAATTCAGACTTCTGGAGCTTTAAAGTTAGCATGTGGTGGTAGGTTTCTTGCAACATTCTGAATGCCTTGACATCTTTCTGGGAGGTGGTATCTGTCCTGAATTTCATTAACACAGTGTAAAACCGATTTGTGCTTTATTCTTTGTTTATATTCCCAGTTTTCTACAAGGTGTCTATTAGGATGGTTACGATTCTTTCTAACGTTTCTTTCATAAATTTCTAAAGTGGCCTTTTCTCTCCGCAACCCTAGGCGTTCCACATTTGTATGGATTTCACATGCAGCAATTGGTGTAGATTGCATAGCTCCACAGATTAATAGAAGGGCATTATTTTTTACTCTGTCAAGAGTCTCTAGGTTAGTTTTGGAGCAGATTGTAAGCAGTGAGTTGTTGTACTCTATTACAGAGCGAACATATCCAAGATATAAGCCCCTTAGAGTTTACTTGTCTGATCCCCATGATGTACCTGCAAGTCTCTTTAATAACTGTAACAGCCTCAATGCCTTATTCCTTACATTTTCAATATGATTCTTGAGGCTGAGCTGCCGGTCAAGTGTGACTCCAAGGTATGCAGGATGCTCTTCTTTCATCACTTGGTGTTTGTCTAACCTCAGGTTAATATTCTTCCTTGCTACTTGATGGCTTTTGGTAAAGATTGTGTAGACTGTCTTTGCACAGTTAACCTTGAGTTTCCATCTTTGGCAGTACTCATGCAGTCTTCTAAGGTCTCCATTTAGTCTTTGGGCTCCACTTTCCACATTTTCATGACTCTGCCATATTGCTAGGTCATCAGCGTACAAGGCTTTTTCGGCCTTGATTTGTTCTGGCAGGTCATTGATAAAGATTAGGAACAGTGTACAGCTCAATGATGAGCCTTGTGGCAAGCCCTCCTCTAAGACTTCTTTAGAAGAGATTGCGTTGTGCATCTTAGTCTGGATTGTTCTATCTATCAGAAAGCTCACAAGGGAGAACAGCTGGTGTGCTGCACTGCATGATAGATTAGACATTTACAGCCCCTGGATCTCTCTGATCCTTGTGTATTCTGGGAGAGAACTAACAAATTCTATATAACATGAGGTGAGGAACATACTGATGCTGGATATGTCAAACAGAGAAAGGGGGAGAGAGAGAGGGCAGAAGAAAGGGAGAGAGAAACATAGTAACAAATAGATACGAGGAGATCTAAAAACCATTTGTAAGTCTTGGGCCCTGTCATTTGTATCTATCTTTTGCCAAGACTTTTCTTGGTGTACATTCAACTGTTTGTGACTCTTAGGCCCTGTCATTTATATCAATATTTTACCAAGACATTTCTGGATGTCACTATTTTTCTACTCATTTCAGTGTTCATCTCCGTAATCTAGAGCAGGTCTGAAAGACAGGCTGATTGTTTAAAAAATTGATGATTGTTTGATGCAGACCAGTATGTTTGGATGTCAGGTTTAAAGAGTTCATAAGATGTTTAGTATTGAAATATTTTCTGTTTAGGTAAACAGTACCAAAGCTTGAGAGTACAAAAAAGGGAGAGAAAGCAGCCGACCACAATTCCAGATCTGCCTTATCTTCAGTGGGAGAAGACTGGAGCTTTGCTTGCTGGGCCTTATTCTGTGAGAATGTGTTTGAGAATCAAGTTTCATTAATCAATCAGTTTGTCCCCTCCAGGCTGCTTCCTCAAGGATTACCACTGTGAAATTGAAAAATCTCCATCTGGATGCCAGCCAGTAGGGCAGAAACCTGATACCTCTTCAACCTCACAAGAAGTTAGAATTAGGGCACAAATGAATAACAGTTACACCAGCCTGGTGTAGCCTGTAATACTATGTGGGTGAAGTCAACTTAAAGCAGGCACATCTTTCAGTTTGACTAGTAAATCTGTTCCAGTTGCGTATTGCAGCAGACCATATGGGAGTACCAAATCTGCTGAGGTTGTATGTCCTTTTACTTTAACTCCATTGAAATATTTTACTTTATTCCTTTCCTTAAAACTTGGTCATTCTGAATGTTTCATTTTACCTGTGATCTGATATTCCACATTGTTTCTTTGTATGCTTTTGTCCTATGTTATTGCACATTTTAAAACTTGTTTCTGTTATATTTTCTAATTTTCTGCAGCTCCTTTCCTCTATTTCAGTGCAAGCTTTCACTTTGTCTCTTTAAGGGGTCATGATACGGCATATTATTAGTTTATGACAAAATTGTCGAGTTTTATCAACTATTCATTTTTGTAAAGTTTAACATTCATTATATCAATTACACAGTTGTTTTTTTCATGTCTAAGCAATGTAACGTTAAAAGGTTTATAATAAAGACACCACACCATGAAGATTATTCAGAGAAAATGCTTTTAATTTTAGTAAAATCTTAGAGATACATTTATTGTCCCACACACACATGCACGTACGCACGCACATTTTTTGACAAAAGAAGGAACCTAAAAACCTTGAGATTCGTGAAGCAAATCATTGAATTTGAGGGCAGTTTCTACTCTTATATTAAACTTAAATCTCTCTCTCTCTCTCTCTCTCTCACACACACACACTCTCTCTTTTTTCTCTCTCTCATAAAAAAGGGGGAACATTTTAATTGTTAAATGTGACATTGTCTCTGAATATGTTACACCCCCCCCCCCCTCCCCCCACCTTCCCAAAGGTGGGGGAGTATGAACACTTCAGTTGCACATTAACCTTATTTTATTTTAGTTTGAAATTTTTAAAATTCCCTTTTCTCATACTTCTGTTTCTCAGTTTGTTGTACTTTTAAAATCCCAAAATCTTGACTAATAGAATGAGTTGAAACAGGAAATTAGGTGTGGATATTCCTTAAACAATATTTTAGGTAATGCTTTATAAAAGTAGTATATTTTATTAAATACTTTTTTTTAAAATAAACATTTTAATGCCTTTATCATGCTACCTTATCTGACCTTTTTTTAAACTTGAATTTTAGAATTGTAAAAAAAAGTGGAGATATTTTTAAATGAAATAAACTAGTGCATTGCCCCAAAGTGATATTAAAGTTTAGAAATTTAATTCTTTATGCCTATGTTTGTTTCTGAACTTTTAAAATTGTATGTATTTTTTTAAGATGGTGGCTGTTACCCTGGCAACCAAGATTTTTTTTAAACATTTTAAGTGTAACACTGTATTAATACACATCACTATAATTGACAATTATAAAATAATTTGTCCAACATTGTTAATTTATTAAAAAATTTTTTTTTTACTTCAGATGAGATCATTTTCTACAGTTGTTGTCTTCAAGAACCCTGTCTGATAGCAAGTTCAGCAATATTTATTTATGCAGAAGTGAAAACAGTTACCAAGCAATTAGAAAATTTAAACCATCTTTGCAGAAAAGTATATTCATTTTAGGAAACCAAAGAAAATACATTAGATATTCTCGACAAGCTAGAAATTAAATGGTAGCGATGAGAAAACAAATTACAATTTCAGATAGTTTGACTAAATCAAAAGATATTACCTCTTGGTAAAGCCTTAATCAAAAAGTTGAAGGTCACAGTGCAGGTGAAGATATCATTATAAAATAGATGAACAGTTGTCTTACAGTTTACTAACAATTTGAGGGTCAAACGGACTTCACAACCCCATGCAGAAAACATTCAATTTTGCGACAACACTAAACTTGATGAGACAGCATACTGAAACGTTGTATTTTTGTACTGTGTAGTAGGTGTTGATCAGGGATGCTGACATCTTTTATGCTTTACAGGCATTACAGACCCAAGAACTGAAACCTGTGCAAACTTTGATCAAACCTGATGCAGAAAAATACTTCTATAAAACACCTCTAAATGGACAGTTTCAAACGAGGTTGCCTGCCCTTGCTGAAAGTAAGTAATTATCCATATATCTGTATGTTATTTTTTTTTTTGTTCTTTGATGGTGAAATACTGAATAATGTCTACAAATTCACAATATCCTTACGTAACAGGTACATTTTAAATTGGAGAGAAGAGAGGAGATATATAAAAGTAGAGAGAGACAGACGGGAAGAATAATAGTTAAAGGATGTATGAGAGGACAAAAGGTTCTCCTATGTGGAGAGTGTAGTAATATGTCTACACCCCAGACGATTAGGTAATAATCAGTGGAGGCATGAAAGAGAGTATAGAGTGATACAAATTTCTACGACAACTAAATAATAGTACCACTCCTATGCTCAACAAACTAACGATGGGATAAAAGAATAACAACCAACAATCATGTTTTTTGAGTTTACAAAATTACACAGTCTTATATCTCATATTACACACCCAAGATGACCTCGATATAAAAGATGTTATACTAAGTTATAACCACAGCGAGCTCAGTCTCTACTCTCGCTATAAAACCTCAGATAGATTAGTACAACAGCCTATCGTTCATTGCAGCTGACAGCAGAATCTACCCTACTCAGCAATTAACTAACAAGTAACTCCTAGAATCCCCTTCATTGCTATTAATCAGTTACTTCTTATTCAGCCATCTAGATACGTCGACAGATAATAAGCCAAATACTGACTACAATCTAGCCACAGTACTAATTGCAGTCTAGATACCATCTGCCCTATTTGCCAAATACCAACTACCATCTAGCCAACCCAGTACAACCATGACAGAAACCGCCAAGTCACCTGTTAAATATATTCAAACAAAATATTAGGTTCACATTCCTAAGCATAAAAACATGAACTCATCAACATAAATCTTTTTTTTTTACACTGCAAATAACTGCTCTTCTTCATATGAATAGTTCTTACTTCATGGGCATTCTTATACCCTTCAGTAAACCTCCATCAACTAATGAACATGTACTTCTTATTCAACACATATAACTATGTATAACTATGCATACACTATTTACTTTTATCACATGAATATCCATGTATTTCCTCTTCAACAACAACAGTCTGGCTGCAGACCTGGCCTTGCGTCACCCCACTCACTTCAACATCTGATACTTCTGTCCCGCCCCTTTACAGGTAAATTCTATTATATACTAGTGCTCCCTTTTCAGCAGCTTGCCTAGGACAGATCAAGCTTGGTTGCCCCAGCTAAATAACTTTCACTTTCACATATCTTCTTATATCATTCTCTCTTCAAATCACATCTAAATGTTAACAGCATTATAAATACATTATTTACTCAGTTATTACATTACTATACATAACGTGACTATTTTCCTTGCAGCTCTAGCTCTGCTGTACAGTTAGATAGCTTACACGTCATGATTACCTTTTATCATACCATCATCATCATGTGCTGTACATGCCCTTCGATAGTTACTACTTCCAACATAAGCCTATATTCTTTATTACAAACATGACACACATAATTATACATACAACTATTCTTTTGACATCAGTGCTCGCTGCTTTCCTCCTGTATCACTGTCAAAACATTGCAGACACAGTCGGCTGCTTGGAAAGGACATTCTAGCGCTAGCCGGTCCATTCACCTTAGCCTCTCTCTACCTGTGATATCCGATATAAGGCCTTTGACTTACATACCAGACAAATCTCTCTATGCTGCATGCTTAGACTGTTGTTGTTTTGGATCTCCTCAGGTGTTACAAGATTTACTTCTACTTCCAGAAATCCTTATCAGTACATATGGCTACTCATACATTGCATTATTGCACTTGGATCTGTCAACATGGCATTACCTTTGTCCCCCTATTATATAGCATAGTAATCATCATCATGTGTCCTGCCAATAACATGCGATATAATACCTTATAAAATTACTTAACATGAACACAATACTACTAACAAAACATCCAGAAATGTTTAATTCATTATCTGGCAAGTTCCACAACAAAAGTATGGACTCACCTCCATTGTATCGACATCATCCCCAAAATGGGTGTATTCGCCCACAGCCACCCTTCGTTGGCGGCGGTCACAGTGCAAGTGTGCCTTCATACTCGCTCGCAGTGTATATACTCCTGATGCTACTTGGTTCTACCTCTCTACTTTGTACCCGAGTTAATAAAACTGTGTCTTCCTAGGCTCATTATCCCTTCTCTTTCCTGCCAAAGAGGGGTTTCCAAGCCACTTTGCATAATCGGATGGAGAAACCCCATGAAATCTGATGTTGATGTCTTCGTTCATTGTCACCTAGGTCCTGCCTCTTTACATTTATGATAGGAATAGTCAACCAGTTAACCTTTGCTCACTGACGATGCTGCTTCTAACAGTTCAGAGTTCATTGACTCTGCATTCTGATGTCTCACTTCTGTTTATCATTCTTTAAATTAAAAGCAATTAAGGTACAAGATATCAGGTAAAACAGATGCAGAATACAAAGTAAAATTACACTAGTGGACGGTAGAATAGATATGTATATTTTACATCAGTTTTCTGGCTGTTTTCAGCTTTAACAACATCGTTTGATGAGAAATCAATGTTTCCAAGTTATATCTTGGAGTTTGAGAAAAAGATGAAGAATTACCACATAGTTTTGCTCAACCAGAACCAGGTAAGTTAGTTATTGTCACACAATAGTAGGTCTCACAAGAGAGTGCATTGATATTAGAAAATACCATCTACACACACCTGTAACAAACGACCAACATGATGTAACTAGCACAAAGTATGGCTGGTGACTGTTGAAAACATCATTCTAATATGTTCACCATCTCACAGGCCCAGATCTGTATGTTTCTTCTGATAGTATTTCTTCAGTCTCTCTGATTGTACTAAATATCATGTGCAGTAATTCAGCTGAGGTATTTACTTTTGGCTTTAATAGCGTCTGGTAGTCTTAGTTTCTGCTTCATAGCAAACAGGTCACCCCATCTTTGCTCCGCTCCTGTGCCAACGAAAAACACACAGAATGTTTATCACAGTCCCTTGTGGAAAGTTTGCAGACTGCTGTCTCAGCATATCAGCATACACTCGCATTAAAGCATGCGGTAGCCAACCGAAGTGCTAACACAAACAGTCCAACATTAGAAATGCAGTTCATCGTTGATGGTAGCAAAAGTCACCAACAGATCAGCAGTTGCCCACGCGATGAATTTTAATCACATACGGGCACCGCCAACATTGCACGACAGGCATTGTGCCATTTTCTGAATCTACAATTCACACCACCACGTTGGTCACAGTTGAAAAAACATTCCAAATGAAATCCGCAGCTCATGGTGCCACACCATGCAATTAACTCAGAAGTTGGGCGACGAAACTATATCCAGTCCACAAATGGAGCACAAATGCATCAGCCACCGTCTTTTGGGGTAAATTCTGGACAAGCAACTTTCCCATTCCTCATAACTTTGATAATTTTTCTAATGTCTTTTTCAGCAAACTTATTACAATGATATCAAGTTCTATTGTTTGAGAATAAATGTTAGTTTTTTTGTTTTTTTTAAGGGGGGGGGGGGGGGGGGGTTCTGTTAAGATATTTTCCAAAGTATTGAACCCATCTGTGTGTTTGAACTTTAATATTGATAAGATCCTTTTCATGACTGTTTTTGATGAGGTCATATTTTCTTGCCATTTTTTTTTGTAGTGCTGTAAAGGTCTTTGAGATGACCTTTTGCTGCTGTTTCTTCTGTTTCTATTGCTAGACCATTGAAATATTGTCTTGTGCCTGGTATTGAACATGTAACACAGGGGCAGTGCAATTATTTGCAGGGTATTACTATTTCTGCAACTTGTGAGTGCACCGAACCATAATCTCACATGCTGTGTATGTGCATTTATAGAATCTCTTTTAAAGATATATAAAATTGAATACAGCCTGTTGGAAACCACAGCACACCAGCAAGGCACTAGTTGATGATGTTAGTTGAATGTTTTAGTATGCCCTGACTAAACATAAAATGTGCAAGCCTGATAAAATGCTAACTGGTGTGTGTGTGAGTAAATCCAGTCACAATTAGTGCATTGTCTGGGACTGAGAGAGTTAAGTAAGCCTTTGCACTGCTCACAGTCATCTAAGGCCAGAAGCACAAACACTGATCTAGTAATAGTAATGTGACACTTTGTTTCTTTGGAAAAGCAGCCTAAAAAACATTATCAGGGTAATACTGGTTGCTTCATTTCTTCATATTATGCACATATAAGCATTAACTGTCCCCCCCCTCCCCCCACACACACACACACAAAACATTTTCATAATACTTGCCAAGTATGCAGTGTCATTTGCCTCCCTTTAATTGTGTGTATTATATGTGAAAACATATCCTCATTCACGTACTGTTATAGTAAATTAAAAGTATGTGTGTGCCATTTGTTTTTTCTTTTTTTTTCTTTGAATATTTCTGAATTGCAGAAATCTGATAATTCAGTGCTTAACTGGAACATTTTGTCCTGAATCAGTTAATATTTGTATTTGTTTGCTTTCAAGTATGATAATAATAATTTTTTAATTTTTTAAATTCTTTCTATTTTTAGCCTGGAAGGAAAAATGAGCCATCACCAGTTCAGAACTTTGGGTCACAAAATGAACAAATAGGTGCTATTGTTCCATTGTTTGCTCACCGGAACACTTCATCTAAAGGGCCTGTTGGAATAAAGATGCAGTCTGTATCAGGAATACAGAAGAGCTCTGCTTCTGTGGCTTCTTCATTCACTATGGATTAGCAGCAGCCTTGTTGGAGGCAACCACACATTCTACTCTTAGGATGTTCTACTAGGTTTCTCCGGTGTTGTACTGTGAAATCTCTGTTACAGTGAAATCAAAAACTGTAACACTGAGATGGCTGTATGAATGTTTGATGTTCTTATAATAAAGACTGTTAATGTAAATTAAATACTGTAAGAATAAAATAGGGGTTTTTGAAATGTGATTATATTGAAACAGACATAATTCCCTCCTTCAGGAATGTGCTTATGTTGACAAAAATATAATCATCTCCTCCATCAGCTGTGATTATATCATCAAAAATATATCAATCTCCTTCAGACATATCTGACTATTGGTTGATGCACCTCAAAAGCTTATGTCAGACTTTACCAGTATTTGATAGTACGCAAAAGCCTTCAACCTCACAGTCCAGCATTCCAGCTAGTAGGTTTTTTCGCCTGCTTGTTGAAGTATTCTTCATCTATGGATTTGAAGACGATATCCTACAATGCATCTCCACATCAGTCAGAAACTTATTCCTTCCAGGTTTATTTTAAATCTAAACATGTCCATGTCTCACTTGCCCATATTGTTGAATCATTTTTGTAGATGTTCACTTTCTGTATAATTAATCTTTGGGGGGTCTCCGTGGCAATGTTGAGCTGTTTGCCACATGCTCTGAAGGACATAGGCTTATTTCACAGACTGCATCATTTGGTTAACTGACCAGTTTTTATACACAGACCCGTGTGGATTGTTGCTGGAGCTATGGTGTTTGTGCTGTGTGCGATCATCTCAGCAGACGGCTGGTTGATATGTGAAGAGACAGAGCCATAAATGATAAAAATCGTGCAACAAATTCAGTCCTCTCAAATTTACTTAACTATTTGTTATCGCTTGAGTCTGACCCATGTGTGAAAGCACTTTAGCATTAGTTACTTCACCTTGTTTTAGGGTGCCACAAAAATAATATAATATGGTATTATCATAAGCGTTGTTGGCAGAATGTATCCTCGCCCCGAGATCCCCTATAATCCCTCCTAAATTACTGTTTGCCAGGGCTCTAAATAAAATTGTCTAGGGTAAATTTATTGGTCCCTAAGTTCCAAGAACTCAAAGTTCAATACATTCATAATTGAACTCGTATGAATCAAAGAGTAAAAGAATTTATCAAACAAGTAATTCAAAGAGATACCAATTAACTTAATCAGATACTTGGGTTAAACTAAATCAAAATATTTATTGACACAACCCCACCCAGAATATCCCTTTCAATTAATCAACAATTCAATAAACATCCTTTAACAACGAAGCAATCGAAATCAATTCTAAACATACACTCAGCTTTAAGTTCATTCGGGTGGATTACAGCATTCCTTGGTGATGATTCAGTTCGTGGATAAATCAGTACACCGCATCTGCTGATTCACAATACAATATTACACCCAACCTCAGGAGCCCATGGCTTTTCTTGACGAATAAGCTGTTGGATTTAATTCCTAATCTCAGTTCTTTTATTTCAACAGTGTTGGTATTCTAGGGTGGGCATAGGGAACCTGAATATGCAATATTTTGATAGTTTTTAGTTTTGATAGTCAATGTAAAGGCTGGGACGGTTGTTTGGTCTAGCAACGAAAGACGAGATCTACGAATTAGTATCCTTGAAGCAACTAAGAAAAACATCATAACTTATGTGCTTCTTAACGCCGTTGTACATTTACCACTATTCCTGCATCTATATTTATGTAGCATCCTGTCTCAGAAGCTGAAATATTTTGGTCATATCAAGCGCCACGACGGATTGAAAAAAAATTATAGCAGAAGGCATGGTACCAAGATGAAGGGGCAGGGGCCGACTGACACGAAGATGGGCACAGGATATAAGTGACTCCTTGAGTATGAAAGTACATGAGGTGGGAGAACTGGCGAGAGGCTGAATTTCTTTCAGACAGATGTGATGAGAGCGACGTTCTACAAAGGACCTGCTACATGATGATGATGATATTTATGTAACATGTGCATTTATTCTAACATGAAACAAGCGATTGTCTCTTTTAGGACTGAAATATTCCATTGGTTTGTCACAGGTATGATTTTTCCTAACGTTCTTTCAATTTGTAGGTTCACAACAAATTGGCCTGTCATGATGTCAGTTTCCTGGCAACTTATGGCCAGGTATGGTATAGGAAGCTGTTATTATTTTCAGAATTGTTTAAATTTAACAGTTGAATGTCAACAGCAGAAGTGTGCAGAAACTTGAAGATCTTTGCAAACCCAAATATTTCAGAGAATGGAAGTAATGTGGTTTCTATGATCTGGCTATAGTTCTCAAGCAAAACCATAACTCTTATGAAGCAACACTGTATCACTATTTCTCTGTTTATGTTTCAAAACTAAAACTTGGTTGTAAGCCATACAATTTCCATTTGGTGAATAAAAACTGTGTTATTTTTTTGTGCTTTTATTGTCTCAGACTTGTGTTACATTGAACAGTATTCATGTGCAGTGGGTAATTCTACATTAGTTTAAACTCCTGCGTGAAATTCTCTTAAATCATGTGTAAGCAACAAAAAACTTAAATATCTTGTTCAGAAAAAAAATAATAGCAACAGTCGTATGAGTAAATGTGAGTGCTATATGACATTGTCTTGTTGAATTACAGAACTCTGAAGACATGTAATATTTTTGGGACTTATTACTCTTAATAATTTGTAATTTAATCATGAAATACAAGAACAGTGAATTGATGCATCTCCATTAACAACACCCAGTTTTTCATTATCTTGAACCTCTTTGCACAATGTAACTCTCATTGGGCTTCTTCTTTTTCTGTAATCTGAGCCCCGGAGTTTCATTGCTGCAGGTCCTACTTGCCTTCCTTTGCCAGTGACTTGCAAGTGTGTGTATGTTTGCCTGTATATTATCCTGCCACTCTCTTCATTCACCAGTGACTTGCAAGTGTTTGTATGTTTGCCTGTATATTATCCTGCCACTCTCTTCATTCACCAGTGACTTGCAAGTGTTTGTATGTTTGCCTGTATATTATCCTGCCACTCTCTTCATTCACCAGTGACTTGCAAGTGTTTGTATGTTTGCCTGTATATTAACCTGCCACTCTCTTCATTCACCAGTGACTTGCAAGTGTTTGTATGTTTGCCTGTATATTATCCTGCCACTCTCTTCATTCACCAGTGACTTGCAAGTGTTTGTATGTTTGCCTGTATATTA